TTACAGATCGGCGAAAATGACGACGAGATTCAAGAAGAACAGGAAGAAGAGAGGACACGTCAGCGCCGGACATGGTCGTATCGGAAAGCATCGCAAGCATCCCGGAGGTCGTGGTAACGCCGGAGGTATGCATCACCACAGGATCCTCTTCGACAAGTACCATCCAGGTTACTTCGGTAAAGTCGGTATGAGGTATTTCCACAAGCTGAGGAACAAGTTTTTCTGCCCGATCGTTAACCTCGACAAGCTCTGGTCTCTCGTACCCGAAGATGTGAAAGCAAAATCGAGCAAGGACAATGTTCCTTTGATCGATGTTACGCAGCATGGTTTCTTCAAGGTTTTGGGGAAAGGTCATTTGCCTGAGAACAAGCCTTTCGTTGTGAAGGCGAAGCTTATTTCGAAGACTGCTGAGAAGAAGATTAAGGAAGCTGGTGGTGCTGTTGTACTCACTGCCTAGGTTAGGCATAAAAAAAAAAGTTATCTTCTCTTTTCTGTTTTTTTAGTAATCGCTGGACTTATTATTATTATTATCTTTTTGTTGGTTTTTGGATTTTGGAAGAGAGTTTCTCTCTTGGAAGTAGTAGTAGTTTATGGAACCTTTTGTTGGGATTTTATGAAATGTTTGTTATTCCGAATTCAGATTTGGTTCTGTGATTCCGTAGACCTTGCGTTGAATATATTTAAGTCTGAAATCACTCGTCCTGTGGAAATTGCTGGTTGAAATGCGCAGGGCACATTCATGCGATTGATGCTTGAATTTGTTGTTGAATTTTGAATGCCTTTTAAAAAATGTTCCATATTCATTCGCATGATGATGTTCACTGTATAGTATCCCACTATCGTCTTTCAAATTATCTAATTTAGATTGTCATTGAAAGCAGCGATTATGTGTATAAGAATTGTTGAATCACGGGAGATTGTGGAAATGCATTACAAATTCACAACCGTGATTTTGAACCTTAAACATGGATTTGCGTTTACCATTTTATTGAAGAAGCTTTAGCTTGTTTGTGGAGAGATTTATTCAATAAATCGTGTTTTGATATTTTACCATTTTATGGTACTGTTAGGATTAAAAATTCGATTTTAAATATAAGATATGAAGAGATTTTTTTTTTTAAAAAATTTAGTATACCATACAACTTGCTCACGAATAGATTTGACAAAGAATGTATTATTGTATTTTCTCAATGAAAATAAAATGTACGATTTTCTTCATTTTAGTTGGGAAAAATGTTCAATTTTTACGACTCCTCAGAGATCAGACATCTTAGTTAGACAAGACAGGAAACTTCTTGTGGCAGATCCAAGAAGATGTGAGCTGAAGAAGTTCGGTGCTCATTTCCAGTATAATTACCGTTCAGATTTGTTTAGCTGCTAAATATATTAAACTCTGTTTGTTAATCCTACAAATGGAAATTCATCATCTTCTTTTAGAAAGACATGGTCTGAATAAGTCAATCCCATTCTCTGATCAGAAACAAGGTTTTAGGTACTCAATCATGGCCGCCAAATTGAAAGTTAATTTACTTGCAGATATGTAAAGAGTTGATCACTTTCGAGTTTTGACCTCACTGTAATGTAAGATAAGAGTTAGCGAGTAGCTGGTAAAGCACGCCAGTTATTGGCTTGGTTTATGGCGTGATCACGAGAAGTTGCGGAAAGCTGTTGGTGTACAACTTCCTTGACGTGACTAGCAGCTGTTTCGCCACCACGTTCAGCTAGTTCTAAGTACAATATAGATTTCATCATCGCCCCTTCCTGCAAAATCAAATCATTATCCCATTAGTTCCACATCCAACTCCTCTTTACATAATCTAAAACCGGACCAGTTCTATTGCCTAATCGCTTAATTTTCATCAAGTCGACTCATACTCCAATTCGGTTTTCATTGCATACTAATTTTTGGTTCCTAAAGATCTGGATACAGAATTAGACTCTCACAAGCTTTGCTTACAGAGAATAGAGCGAGGCCGTGTTCAAACTGAGCTTTACTGTGACCGTGATCAGCTGCTCGTTTCATCCATTTCCTTGCCAACTTGCGGTTTTGTGGTACGCCTTCTCCAACCGAATAACAAAGCGAAATGTTATACATTGCTCGTACATACCCGCCTTCTGCTGCCTTTAGGTACCATCTAGTCTGTCAAAAAGAGAAAACTCCAGTCATTAAAGAGATAAAAACAACCTTTTGTGGATAATAGGAAGAGAAACAAACAAACAAAAAAAATCAGGAAATCGAACATTTCCACAAAAGAACTAAGCAAACTTCCAAATATAGCATTATCGGTTTCCATAAATATCAAGAACCACATTCAAAGATGCAACTTTCAATCTAGATTGCAACACCACCACAAGAAGACAGAGATGCAGACTGTATTGAATCTCAACTAGAAAGACAAAGAAAGGAACATACAGCTTCTAGCAGACTGGCTTGCACGACTCGGCCTTGGTGTAAACAAAGAGCTAATTGATACTGAGCTCGAACGTAACCATTTTCTGCAGATTGTTTCAACCATTTCATTGCTTCCTTTGGATTTGAAGGTTGAACTGCAGATAGAAACACTCAATTGCTCAGAAAATTCTCCATTGAATTCATCACCAATTAGTCAACAATAACCTAATCCATCAATTTTCAATCGCAATTTCTAGATACCACAATCAATCCACAAAATCTCAAACCCTAAACAACTCAGAAGAACTTTGGTTACCTTGAAGATAAGAAATCCCCAAATTGCATTGACCAACAGCATCACCGAGCTCCGCCGCTCTCCGATAAAGCCCCACCGCTTTCTCTTTCTCTCCCGTTTCCCAGTAAACGAGTCCGGCGTCAACCATAGCGAGTGTCGATCCACGCGCGGCGCCTTTCAGGAACGAATCAAGAGCTTTCTCGATGTTCGCTTTCACGCCTCCTCTTCCGTGCTTGAACCGTTTTCCCCAACGAAGCAGAACCATCGATTCCCTAAGCGGCTGGAGCGCGTCTCTCCACGATCTGCAAACCGAAGACGCCGCGTGGAGATTCGGAAGACTAAACGGGGCAGCGATTTTCATCAGTATATCGAACGGAAGCATCGAGAAATCTCCGACGACATTCGACGACGGTGGTGAAGGTGAAGACCTTGAGCTTGACTTCCCCGTTGATCGAATGGAAAATCTACTGCGTTTTTCCTTGTCGTGAGGTTTTAAAAATGATAAGGCGGTGAATCGAGATCCTTCTGATGTACCTGGCCACGTTCTCTGCTTCATCTTCTCCGGCGAGAATACCACCGTCGATTTTTTGCGTTGAGTCAAGAGAAAAAGGTAAGTAAACGGATTCGCCTTGGTG